TTTTATTTACTATAATAATTATACTATAAGCTAACGTTTCAAAATTACATACAGATAATTTTTTATTTCATTGGCTTCCGATTCGTTACCTTGATGTACCTGAATTTAAAAAAAAAAAAAATAAGATGCTATTATTTTCTTTTATTACTCTACGCACATGTAGCGCATAAGAATATTTCATTTTTTTTTTTATATATATATATAAATAATAATGATAATTCATTATATCAGTTCATATGTATGACTACGTAGTATTAATAATTTAATTATTAGTATTATACAGGGTCTCCCATATATGTTGACGCGGTAATAATTGCAACCGAACCAAAAATTATAAAGTCATAATTAAGTTATAGTTTATTATGCGTCAGGATAATTACACTTTTCGTTGTCGTACAAAAAAGAAAAAGAAAAAGAAATGAAATAAGATTTGATATCGTATTCCAACAATGTCAATAATTCAATCAATTATTTTTCGTTATTCTTCGTATTAAAATTTTGTATTATTGACTAGGACTGTCTTGTGCCTTACTCTCAATGCAATTATTATTAAAACAAAAAGAAAGATAAGTAAATACTTTGGTATATAAATAAATTTAATCTTATGACGATGTAATAATGCAGACGTGTAGTAATTTTTTTGTTAAAACTATACAATTTAAGAAAAAATATCAGACTTTGGTCATTCAATGATGAACGAGAAACAAAAAATGTTATCTTAAATTTGGACATTATTACTGTACAACTATAATAGCAAGAGCTATGAAATACAGTTATATATACATGCACACACACTTTATTTGTGTGAAATAAACAATGATACTACATATTATATGGTTGTATATTTATAATTTAAGTATATATTTGTTCTAAAATATTATTACTAATAATAATGATAGTGTATATTGGATATACATTTATTTTTATAAAATATAATAAATGAAATTAAAAAAAGAAAAAATCATATACAAATTATTGTAATATTAAAGACGATCGAGATAAAAATTAAATTATTCAATGTCAATGACGTATTTTAAACACGTTCATTATGAAATTACTTATATTTAATAAGAAAGTTATTTAAATAGGATTATTTTTTTATAGAGACAATAGAAAGAAAAATCAAGGCATTCTTGAAAAAAATGTTAATCTCGAGAATATTTAAAGCTTATTTTATATCGAACATATTTATTTATTATTTAGACCATCAAATTTATATCAACTATTTTTCAAACATTACTACTTTAAGCTTTGAATTTGGCGCGTTAAATAATGGGAACGTCGGTTTTGAACATGGCGCATTAAACAATCGGAACGTCGGTTTTGAACTTTGCCGCGTAAAATTGGTGGAATGTTAATTTTAAATTTCACGTGGAAAATTATCGATATTATTGTAATTAATCGCAGGTATATGTACAATATACGAATATATATATATAAATATAAGAACAAGAATATGGATGATCGAGTAATTAAAGGCCAACAAGGTTATGCTCATCGTTATAACGGAGGTGATTTTTATTTCAACAAAAATAACAATTTACATTGAACTATTTTGATAATAATATTATTATCGTGTATACTACACGTGTAGTTTTATTTTTATTTTATTTTACTTTACTTTACTTTACTTTACTTTACTTTATTTTACTTTACTTTATTTTACTTTACTTTACTTTACTTTACTTTACTTTACTTTACTTTACTTTACTTTACTTTACTTTACTTTACTTTAATTTTAATTTACTTTAATTTTATTTTACTTTTATTTTTTACTGTAGGCATGGTATGCTTTCGCTCGCTATTAATTGTAATAATCTGCTTATTTGTTTATTTTATTTATTTTCTTCGTGTATTATCAATGATCATTTTAATAATAATTCGCATTTTAATAGCGTTGTATCCTTAGATAGTAATCGCTATTGATTTATTTTCTTGTTGTATCCTCTTCTTCTTCTTGTAGTTATGGTTGTTGTGGTTGTTGTATTTGTTGTTTATTGTAATAAGTTGGTAGTAGTAGCAATATTATTAATGGGTAATATTATTTTTAAAAGCTTCGTAAATCTTTATGCGACCTTTTTAAACTTCGTACTCAACGTTCTTTACATTTCATTTCTTTTCTTTTCATTTATTTTGTTTCCTTAAGTTAATCTTTCACTTTTATTTTTTATTAATTATGATACAAGTATAGTCAGGAGGGAACTGAGATTTGAGTACCTCGACTTTTTGTCTTCCTCTTCTTCTTCTTCTTTTTCTTCTTCTTTTTATTCATATTTTATATATGTATTATTTTATTATAGGTTTATATATTTTATATATATTTATATTTATATATTTATATATGTATATACAACAAGGACTTCCCGCCTTTTTTTTTTTGTTTAAATTTAAACAGATAATCTCGTGATGATGATGATGATGATGATGATTATGATGACAATGATGATAGGCGACAGAGTAGATGACATCGACCGATTTGATGTCGTATTTTTTGTTTTCTTCCGTTTTTTCATTTTAATTTTCCTTTTTTTTTATCTTTTCCCTTTTTACGAACGAGTAGGTACATCTCAATTTAATTTTTCCCGCCATTTTTCTCTCCCCCAATCCACGCGGAACAAAGATATTTAATATTTTCCCTGTACACGTGTATGTGTATGTATGTTTTTTTAAAATACCAAATTAATATTCGTACATCGCACGTAAATTTCATTTTTAACATGATCTATAAATAGAATCACACACACACAGACACACACACAAATAAACACAGACATTTTTTTCTTCCTCTTCTTTTTTTTTTCCCTCAATTATCTTTCTTTTATAGTACGTGCGCGTATTTTTTTTCTTTTCACACATAAACGTCGACAGAATAATCGTAGTTGTTAATAATAATAGTAATTATATAGTAGTAGTAGTAGTAGTAGTAGGTAGTAGTAGTAGTAGTAGTAATAGTAGTAGTAGTAGTAATAATAATATTAATAATAATAATAATTATATAATAATAGTAATAATGATAATAATAATAAGCGTATGCTTTACACCGACAATCATCAATTATCTTACTCACATACTTTTATTAACTACGAACCCCCATTCGGTCAATGTTTTATATGATTGATTGATTTTTATTTTTTTCCCCTTATCCTTTCTTCTTTCATTATTTCTCTCTCTCTCTCTCTCTCTCTCATTTCCTCTTTTTTATTATTATTATTATTTTTATTCGAAGTTGGAAAATTCTTTTACATATTCGATGCGAGAGAGACTTGAACGCGAATAATAATACCTTTTCTTATTTTTTTACGTACTCGTCGTTGAAATTTCATTTTGCAATTATTTCAAGGTTTATTTAAATGTAATTTTGTTTGCAAACATTTTTGTAAATTTAAATGAATTATTATTGTATTGATCTCTCTTCTCTAAGGGACAGGATGACAAAGAGTCGGTCGGCTAATATTGTTTCGCGATTTTTTTTTTTTTATTTTATTATCGAACCTTTTCGAAAAATATTATTTTTTTAATAGACTCTCCCTCCTCGTTCTATTCTTTTCTTTTTTAATCATTGCTGTATTCGTTCGAAATAATAATCTCGTTGCTGGCGATCTATTTTTTTTGTATATTTCTTTTTGTTTTTATTTATTATTATTATTATTTGGTGCTATTCCCTACAGTGAGAGAGTTTTACTTTACCGTGCAAAGATATAACTTATCGAAATAAATCGATGAAGATGGTTTTTCTTCCTTTTTTTTTTTTTAATTTCCCCTTTTAAAAAGGATCTTTCCACATTCTTTTCGAAATTATTTTTATTTAAATAAAAATAATAACAATAATAATAATATAAAAATGAAAATGATAATGATAGAAATAAAAAATGGCGACAAGAATAATAGGAAGACGTATTTCAATGAATATTTTTACTCTCGTACTCGCGATTGATTACTCGATTACACCACCAGTCTCTCTCTGTCATTTTTCTCTTTCTTTATTATATTTTTATATTATTTTATTTTTTATTTATAACTAATATATTTTAAAAATAATCGAAATATTTTCTCTCTAATGAAACCCTTTTAAATTCGAAATAATTGATTCCAATTAACATTTCGTTCTTTTTACTGCGCGAAAAGATCATACCTGGCGTTTTTTTTTTGTCTAAACGTTTATCGAAGAAAGAAGAAAAAGAAAAGAAAAAAAGAATTATTTACAATTATCATACAAAGTTTTTAATACAAAAATTAGTTAGTAAATTAATTAAAATTCAGCTGCCTAAAATAATAT